ATGATATTATCTAGAAACTGTGTGTGTTCACTGTACAGCTGTGGATAGGTGTAAAAGAAATATTTCAAATTTAAACTGAACCAGAATGTAGCTAAACAGCTGATCAGCAGAACTTGTACTGAAACTCCACTAAGTACATGGCAGGATTAGCAATGCCCGGGCTCCGCTAACACTGCAGCACAGACTCATAAACAAATGCCCATAGCACAGTCCACGGCACAGCCACACATAAAAGCTAACGCTTACAGGTCATCTTTGAGGTCAGCATGTTCCCCATGAGGAATTTCCACAGAGCCTCTCAGACCACACAATATTTCTCCTCTCTTCCTCAGCAGAATTCTGTCTCCTTTAGTCACAGAAAATCACTGATGAGGTGATGTCCTCATCTGCTCAACCCATTGTTTGTCTGAAAGCCACAGCGCTTATGAAATTTCAGTCATGTTTACTGTTAATGCTACAAGTTCCTGCTTTTAAATAACAATTCCCCAAAAGAGGAAGAAAGTTACGAGACAAACTTAAAAACTACATGCTTAAAATATGACCTTTACATCCTTTTGAACCAGGCTCCTGCAGAGACACCTAATTTATGGACACTGTGGCCTTAGGGTGGGAAGGACATGGCTCAGTGATACCCCTGAGGTTATCTCAATCACTCCAAAGAAACACACAATTAGTCCCATGTAACGGACAGATAAGACCAAAATAATTCCAATGGTAGCATCAACCACGAGTGGCAAGTGATTTCTTTATCATCATATACTGATTGTACTATTTCACTTGTTTTCCATTAATACCACATTAAAGGTTATGGGATAAGATTTTACTCTTTTACAAAAAAAAAAAAATTATCACCATGACCTTTCATCCGTTTCTTTTCATTTCTGTATGTTATAAAAATCTGCCTCTTGATCCATCACAGTGAACATTTAGACTACACTGTGTTTTTTTTCTTTAGGTCATTTATAGTTACCTCACAATGATGATGTAATATCAAAAGCACTGCAGGCGTGATGCTCACTGTGATGGATTACAGAACTTTTTATGTGTAAAGACTCTATAAAATGATTTTCATGCCACATGGAAATGAATGATAGCTGATGGCTGCCCTGACAAAATTCATTCGAAGACACTTGAGCATTGTTTGCAAAATTGCTGACAATAATAATATAAAGTACAGTATATGTGATTAAGTAAATGGGCTAAAATGTGAAACATCATTAGTATGATACAGCACATATACTGGTATGAGCAGATACCCAATGTCAAGAATCGGAATCAGTAATGGGAAGGAAAAAATTTTATTGGGACATTTTTGATCTCAAACATCCGATGTTATCAGCACCCACCAACACAAAACAGTATACTCTCTGATCATCACTGTGTGAAAAATTTCCAGTGATGCAAATTGGTGAGGTCGGAAAGTCCAGGTGACAAAACTGATAAAGACATTAACCATTATCTTGTCATTCTTTCCTGTTTGAACCTGTGCAGTGCGGATATGTTGTTTTAGATCAATGAGATAAAAGCAAACTGTGCCTCTACACAATCGGAATTACAAGCCTGAAAGATTTGATTCAAGTGAGGTGCTGGGCCGCTGCTGTTCCCTTTTTCATGTGTTGCATATGCAGCACTTTGAATGAATGTGTGTTAAACTCGATCTTGTAAAAATCGATAAACAAACATAACATAGCGGGCTAGGTATAAAAAAAACATCAGGTATTCTTTTTTAACTGAACAGCAAAGCTACACTGTAGATCTCTTCACTGTGGACGTGTTCACACCTTTCTCTGCATCAAATTTGTGCAGTCAGTCCGACAAATTACACTCATTTCACAACCCTGATGCAAATTGTTGCTTTTTCAAAGGATGTAAACAGAGATAAAATGGAGGGGGTGAGATGCATCACTCATAGTGAAGTCGAGGAGTGGTTGAAGGGGGGAATGCCCGTGTGTGAAATAACATTCATGTTTAGACCAGTGTGTAGATCAGTGAAGTGATAAGGAAGCAACAGCTCAAATTCAGAGTTTATTCTGTCACAAAAAAAAAAGTAACACAATTTGTGGAAGCTACTAAGAAAAAATATCAGGTTTTTACAGCCTTTCTTAGATTAGTGCTACCAAAATGAGATTAAAAACAAAAATATACAGCCGCATATCACATTTTAAATACGCTTAAAAGATTCAGTTTGTAGGATTTAGGGGGGTTTATTGTCAGAAATGGAATATAACTTAATAAGTATGTTTTCTTTATTGAATTCACCTGAAAATAAGAATTGCTGTGTTTTTACTACCTTAGAATAAGTCATTTATATCTGCAGAGGGAGTGGGTCCTCTTCCACAGAGTCCCCCACATTGCACTGTGTTTCTACAGTAGCCCAGGGTGGACAAACCAAACACTGGCTCATTCAAATCTTTGCTTTGCCCACTGTATTTAGCAGCCCCTCCGTGATGAGCCCAACAACGTCACAAAAGCGCTGATTTGCAACATGAATCTGCTTTATTCAGTGTTGTTACCGGTTTGTTTTGAAGAGGAAGAGCCCTCTGAGGAGAATTCAGCTCCAGGTAAAACCCTCCTGAACATCTGGATAGTAAATTAACAGAGAAAGAAGGTGAACATTCATTAGCAAGTGCTGGGTTAGTGTCTGTTCTGTGATGAGCTGAACAGCATCAGAGAAATGTGCAATGCTTGGCACATGGTAAAAGTTTCAGCTGGTTGCAATCTGCAATCCTCACCACTAGATGCCACTAAATCCCACACACTGCTCCTTTAATGGAACAATGTACTTCTTACTTAATTCAAAACATTATAAAGCAGCTGATTTCAGTACACTACATGCAAGCTACAAGAGGATAGTTTCAAAAGATTCTGTCAAAGGTCTGTTATCGATCTGTTACTGGCTCAGAGGAAGGATGGCAATGGGACAGGCCAGCAGAGCCTGTGACCTTGCCTAAAAGTGGACAAGCCCATCAGGAGTCAACAGGCATGTGAGCTACAAACAATAGCAGCATTTAAAACTGCAAATGGCCTCCGATAATCTCCACAGAGCCAGCACTGTCCCACTTCACATAACATTGGATCCAAATTTAACTGTTCCTGACCTTTTTACTCTGAGCGGCTGATGAACTGTGGAGCTCCACGGCAGACCTTGCTTGTCTATTGTCTGAAACGGGACAACAAAACACTGGCTGGGGACAATGGAGGGTCACTGCAGAGGGCTTGAAATAATCACAACAATGACAGCTCCCATATTTAAAGCTGCAAAGAGACTTCCAACTGCAGCGCTTAAGTGCTTTGTTATTAACAGGAAACACTGCTCCCCATGAAGAATAAACAGCACTTCTCTTTACTGGGTGAGTCATGGTAGCAGGTTTCATTGTTTCCTTCACTGTGTGATTGATACCACTGAGCCTATAAATGTCTTCTAAAAACTCAGATACAGTACAGAAACTAATGCAGTAAAAGATGTGAACACTAAGAGTCCATCAGTTTGCTCTGAATAAGAAAAGTGAAAGAGGACTTTGGTAGAAAATGCCTTTCTAAGCATTGGTAGCCAGACAGAGATCACTGGGTCATCATGCATCTGCAGCACTCTTCCTGTGTGAAGCTGATGGTGCTCAAAGCAGGCCACGAAAACAGGTTCTCTGACCGGCAGACAAAAGGGGAACAGAGATTGACGTTTGATTACAAGCGTCAATATCTCATCAAGGGTGATGACAGAAGCTGCAGGTCGAAGTGTGCAGACAATATCCCAGAAAGACGAAATGAAAGGTCTTTTGGGCATCATTTGATAAGAGGGGAAGCTACTCGATTGTACGTTATCAGGTCAGCAGGATGAGCAGGGGAAAAAAAAAAAAATCAATGAAGCACTTCAGATTAGATGTCAGACCAGTAGCCAGAGATTCAACCTCACTGTGTGACTTGGAGTAGATGCTGAAATACAGGATGCAGAATGTTTGAAATGAGTCAGACTTCGAAGTAAGTTGAACAGAGAAAGAGGGAGAGGAAATGCTGTCACCACGCATGCCCTTCATTCCACTGATTTGTCACATGCGAACTGCTCAACTTCCACGTGTGGCTTAAAAGCAGGGCATTCTGGTTTTGCTTAGTACTTGTCAACAAAAACACTGCAGTGACTTCATAGAGGAACATTATTATTCAACTTTCACCCCCACTCGTAACACTCATTGCAGCAGTGCTGCACAGATGAGCAATTCATTCAAACAGAAATGTCTTTTTTGACCCAGTGATAGCCATTGAGATACAACAGCCACGACTTCACATCCTTCCTGCAAGAAGAAGCTCCTGTTCATCTGCTTGTTTTGCTCTATATTCTCTGAAGTACAACTTCATAAAAATGTTCAGTCAGGATATTTTTTTTTGGCACCCTTGACACCACAGTTAAAGGTGTTAAATAACAAGAACACCTGCACAATTGCATGCAAACCAATAATACACTATAATGTTTAGTTTGTTTTTGGTTGAGACTATATTAGAGTGGCTCATTTCTTAGACTTTATGGTGTTGTTTTAAACTGCAACATAGTGTGAGATGCTGTTTTGTTTTTTTTTTTTAGGATATTTTTTGGGGCTTTTTAGCCTTTAATTTATAGGACAGACAAGCGTGAAGGGGGGAGAGAGAGAGGGAGTGACATGGAGCAAAGGGCCACAGGCTGGAGTCAAACCCGGGCAGCTGCGGCAACAGCCTTGTACATGGGGCGCCTGCTCTACCACTAAGCCACTGACGCCCAGAGATGCTGTTTTTTTAATATGTGCTATTGTGAAAAACTATGCCCATTTAAGCGGTGTCCAAAAAAGAAAAAAAAAGGAATTTAGGTCCACAGAGAACCTATGACTCAGGGCTCAAGGTGGCCCAATCAATTTTAATGCAACAGAAAACCTGCCACCCACACCTGGAATTGAAAAAAAGTAAGCATCAGTGTCAAATAAAGACATTTACATAAATAAAATATAGTCTAAAGATCAGAAAACACATATGGCAGCTAACACTTTCAGTAATATTTTATTGGAAGAACATTAGGTGTACAAAAACATACAGATACAATGCTAAGGGAAATGACTGGCCATTCATATTTTGTTTTTTTTTCCCCTTCAGTCACCTCCGACCTAACCGTTACCCACTGATGGTGCAAAAGATAAAACACAAGATAAACACAAGATAAATACAAAATACCCCCCAAAAATGCTTAGAGAACATAACATCAAATATTCAGTGCTCCAAAAAAGATGCATTTAGTCAGCACCAAGCTCAGGGACATCCAATACAAAGCACCTTAATACAAAAAAATACAAGTGGTCTTAATCATAGTGGAAGTACTGTTTGCCAGGCCAAATAAAATAAGAGCATGGGTGGATCATGAGACAATGGGCCCCTGGGCACAAATATGCAAAAGGCCCAACCACTTTTGTTGTTGCTGTTTTGCATCTTTTTGTTGCCATTTTTGAGGTAATTTTGTGTCTCTTTTGGTTGCTTTGTCTCACTGTAGTTAAGTTGTTTCTCTGCTGTTCCTTTACATCTCTTTGTGGTGTTTTTGTGTCTCTTTGGGGTCAATATGTGTTAATTAGAGCAACATTTTGCAGGTGAAGGCCAGATGGGCCCCTGAAACTTTTGGGCCCCATGGGCCTGTGCCCACTTGGGCATGGATAAGAGAGGTTGCAAGGTTCAGTAAAATTTCTGGGCTGATCTGCAAAGGGCAAATGTGATTTTTTTTTCCAGTTTAAGAAACAACATTGAGTCCCTCTTTAGGGGAAGCGAATGCAAATGCACACCTTTTATACTCAAAGTTATATCCAGATTTTAGTTAAAACAAAAAGTACTGAGGTTCAATAAATAACACAGTCCTCCTTGTATCATTGTACCATTTAAGCATCCCAGACTCCTCACTTTGAGCTGTGTACATGCTTCCTAGCTCATCGTAGACACAGATGGGAGACCCTCCTATCTGCAGGACACACAGCATGGTGGTGTTGTAGCTCAGCTATGCTCCAGCACTTTATCTGTATCCTTGCTACACATGGACATCTTTGGAGGTACAGAGGGGAAATACAGTATATAGGACAAAAAACCAGGGGGGCTGGAGTATGAGCCCTGGAGGGGGATTCAGTGTGACTTCAAGATAAGGGGCGAGCTGCAGCCCCGGGCTTCCTCAGTGAAACACATCGTGGGCAGATATCTGGAAAAAAGGCTCTCATATAGCTCCTGTCAGCCAATGGGAGGCTCCAGCCACTGGAGTAACTTTGGCAGCAGGATAATCCATCCCTGGTGTGACTGTTGGTGAATCAGCACCATTATGGTTTTGTTGACTCAATGGTCTGTAGTATCTATATCCTGTTGAGCCCAAACTGTCATGGGTGAGGCTTGGTTTTTGTTTGACTGCTGCCAAGCATGTGGTTAAGCTGTTGTCTGTTTTTACTCCATGTTGCAGAGCTTGTAATTTGGCAAAACAAAAAGAGTAACAGGCTCCACTTGTTCCCTCATATTAAATATATTTATGCTCTTCAGGGTGCTAATAGTTAAGACGTAGTCCATTAAAAACATCTGATTCTTTATACCAAAAGGATTTAAACAAAGGTGTAATTATATCTAAGCCAGTGACTTCTCTCACTCCTTCCCACCACAGAGGGTTCACATCAGTGATTTTAACTCCACCTAGTGGTCCATGATTAACACTTACTGTCGAAAAGCACCAGTAGTCATCTCCCTGTGTCTGCCCCATTGTGGTTGCAGCAAATTAAAAATAACACGACAGCTCAAGGATCCAGATGTATGGGCTGTTTGTGCCTTGCTGTGAGAATAAAAGACAAAGAACACCGATGACTGAATATGTTTAGTCTACTTTTGATATTGCAGAGGAAACTGACATCAAAAGGTGCGGGCGGGCTCAAAATGGCGTGACCCCATGGAGACCCAGCTGCTCTGAGTCTAATATTTCCTGCTTTCCCGACAAGCCAAACAGAAGCTTCCAGACGGCCTCAGACTACTGGGAATGTTATCAGTGGTAACGTGAACAGTACACAGCAGATGTTCAAATCAAATGAGAGACAGAACACACACACACATCTCAAACATCCTTGTGTAAAAAAGCTTTTATGGCAACAAGTTGAACAACATTTAATTCAGATGTTAGTGTTTTGTTGAAGTTATGTGATCAAAGTCACAAAAATACTGTTACTGTCTGAGCTTATCTGTGTTCTGTAAACTTGAATATAACCTGGTACAAAAAATTGTACTCATTTATAAGATCAAGACCTGGTTGTCTTCACATAAAGTGAAAACATTTTGGCAAACAATTATTGTCTTTAGTAAATGTAAACATCAGCGACCACCTTGTGATTAAGGCTCAGAGGAAATGAGGCTTTAGTGGTCCGATAACATTTTCTCAACTTCATCCATCCAGTCACTTGGAGATTCTTCCTCAAAGTCTCTGTGAAGAGAGGACAAACAGTACAATACATTTAACCTTTGTTTTCATATTAGATGTTATACAAAAACAGTACATTCCATGCATTCAACAGGGATTCATTCAACCCTGTCTTTATACATTAATATTTGATGTGAATTTTATTGTGATTATGTTTATTTTTCCAAGTGCTTTGATTTTTTTTATAATTTACTTTACATATACTCTCTGCTTTGGAAGTTCAAAAAAGTGAGTCCTCCTTGTTAACACTATAAATCATGATAACTTACGTGTCCTCATCATCAGAGCGAGGCTGCATACGCTCCTCATCTACGGTCACTTCAGGCTCAGGGCCGTCAGTGTCATCACCCTGCGGCTGGGAGAGGGGTCCCACCAGAGGGTCCTCGTCTGAAAATAGAAACAACAGGAGACTGTTTCTATCGCCTACTACACTGACATATGACATACACCTATCAGAAGTGGAATGAGTCTGAAATGTAATCATAACATTCACATTTGGGTTAATTGTGTGCGACAGCAAAGTCACTCAAAATATCGTATTCAGATTTCAACAGACCTCCTGTGTGTATTATAAAGGTGCTGAAGGCTCTGTTCAGCCGGGCCTTCTCCAACAGACTCAGAAGCCTCTCAGGAGGATCCCTGTCCCATCGTCTCCTCGGCCTGCTGTCCTCTGGCTCCTCTGACACACCTGGAAAAACCAGGGACCCAGCTTTTACACCTTGATACTGTACTTCATCCTCCAAACTTGAATTTTTTAAAAAATAAGGAAGAGAAAACACTGCTTATGCTGTCATACTTCCATGCGTAGATCCGATGAGGGTCTGGTTGGTTGATGCCATGCTGTTTGATGAGATGAGGCTGGCATCGGCCAGCACCTGCAGTACAGTGTCTGATGGCTCAGCAGTCCACTGCTTTCGAGGGACCGGCTCTCTGCTCTCACAGTGAACTTCAGGTAACTCCATGCCTGAGATGAAGGTTAACTTAGAATTGTTTTGTTGTTGTTGTACTCAAGAGGATCCTAATATGAAAGGGCATTTCTATTCTGCTGACAGTGCATACACAAAATCACAAAGAGCAAGGAGAGAATAATAAGCACACAATATAATCAAAAACAGAGGAACATGTAAAAGAGTCAGGAACCTCTCTTGCTTCAAGCGATGTTCTAGCAGAAAGTAAGGATATTATAAAAAACTTTTATAGTTTCCTCGGCAGAAAGCAATGAGGAGGCACCTGTCATCACTTTAACTTTTGCTTTTAGTGCTAATTCCTGCTTCCTTAACCTTTCCCAGAAAGCATTACAGAAAGACTAAGGTCCCTGTGTTTTGGGTAGGGCTGTGTTGAGGTAGTATAGGAATAGGATAAAATCATGAAACACAAAAATATGATAGTGCTGTTTCTAATTAACAACCCTATGTATGCTCCTGCCAGTCTTCAGGATGTTCTTTTTCCATGATAACATTAACTTTGACTTGGACTCTACCTTCATTTGTTGATGATTTCATTAAACTCTTTTCTCCCAGAAGATGAGCCACCTTCTCTCCCTCTTCTCTATTCCATCGACCCTTACGCCTCCCCTGTTCCTGCGTCTCCAGCGCCTGTAAAGGATTCAAAGCACTGCAGTAAATCAAACACATAACATGAGCTCAGTGGCCATCTGAACTAACAGCAGCTTGTCAAAGGTCAGATTCCACATAGGGTCAACACAGATGGGGAAATTGTGTGAGAGTTTAAATTCTCACGTTGACACATGTTGTGACAATATGTCGTAGTGATGGATGAGCAGTGAAATGTCAACATGCAGGAAGTTCAACTGCAGTGAATGGCACTTTTATCAGCACAGGTAGTGACTGCGTCTGTACCTGGGAGGGTAGATGTCTACGCAGGAGCCTGGAAACCCGATGAGAAGTCAGGATGCTGTGCAGGGACGGCCTGTCTTTTGGGTTTGTCTTAAACATCTGCTTGACCAGATACTGCAGCTCGTAGGGCAGGTGATTAGGAAGGGCAGGGTACACACCCCGACACACCTTAAGAATCAGGCTCTTCCAGCTGGATGCCTGGAACTGGACAAAAGAATGAGGTGTGAGAATCGCCAGAACAACAAACCACGCCTCAAAATCTGAGCCATGAAAAATACATAACACATAATCTGTCTCAGCTGAACATAGTAGGCCTCTGTCATTCTATAACAATGCTTTGTAGCATCTCACTGTGCAGTAAGTACTTTATACAATGATTCACTGACAGCAGTTGGAGAGAGGGCCCACAGTCAAACCCGAAAAACATGCAGAGGAGGGAAGGGAAGTACCGGGTGTCGCAGGGTGCAGAGCTCGTACAGAACGCAGCCCAGAGACCACACATCACTGCAGAACACATAAACACAGAGATGGTTATTCATTTACACCAGACATTCATCACGTACTGGCACAGTCAGAAAGATACAAGACTGGTTAACCCACACATGAGTTACATAATCACTGCTGAGCTGAGAACACAGACTGTTTTGAAAACTCCTCATTGTTGGTGTGTTTATTGACACTCCAACATCCAAGACTGGATAATGGAAAGTATTGTAATCACAAGCTATGTTAATGGGGAACTCTAAGTAAACATGGGAACTGAGGAAAGATTGTGGGATTTTTCTGCAGTTAAAACGTCTGTCTGATGTTTGTTTGGCCAATAGTCTATAAAGTGTCAGATATTAGAGCAGGGGTGTCATACTCATTTTAGTTCATGAGCCACATACATATATATACAGTACAGGCCAAAAGTTTGGACACACCTTCTCATTCAATGCGTTTTCTTTATTTTCATGACTATTTACATTGTAGATTCTCACTGAAGGCATCAAAACTATGAATGAACACATGTGGAGTTATGTACTTAACAAAAAAAGGTGAAATAACTGAAAACATGTTTTATATTCTAGTTTCTTCAAAATAGCCACCCTTTGCTCTGATTACTGCTTTGCACACTCTTGGCATTCTCTCCATGAGCTTCAAGAGGTAGTCACCTGAAATGGTTTCCACTTCACAGGTGTGCCTTATCAGGGTTAATTAGTGGAATTTCTTGCTTTATAAATGGGGTTGGGACCATCAGTTGTGTTGTGCAGAAGTCAGGTTAATACACAGCCGACAGCCCTATTGGACAACTGTTAAAATTCATATTATGGCAAGAACCAATCAGCTAACTAAAGAAAAACCAGTGGCCATCATTACTTTAAGAAATGAAGGTCAGTCAGTCCGGAAAATTGCAAAAACTTTAAATGTGTCCCCAAGTGGAGTCGCAAAAACCATCAAGCGCTACAATGAAACTGGCACACATGAGGACCGACCCAGGAAAGGAAGACCAAGAGTCACCTCTGCTTCTGAGGATAAGTTCATCCGAGTCACCAGCCTCAGAAATCACAAGTTAACAGCAGCTCAGATCAGAGACCAGATGAATGCCACACAGAGTTCTAGCAGCAGACCCATCTCTAGAACAACTGTTAAGAGGAGACTGCGTGAATCAGGCCTTCATGGTCAAATAGCTGCTAGGAAACCACTGCTAAGGAGAGGCAACAAGCAGAAGAGATTTGTTTGGGCCAAGAAACACAAGGAATGGACATTAGACCAGTGGAAATCTGTGCTTTGGTCTGATGAGTCCAAATTTGAGATCTTTGGTTCCAACCGCCGTGTCTTTGTGAGACGCAGAAAAGGTGAACGGATGGATTCCACATGCCTGGTTCCCACTGTGAAGCATGGAGGAGGTGTGATGGTGTGGGGGTGTTTTGCTGGTTACACTGTTGGGGATTTATTCAAAATTGAAGGCACACTGAACCAGCATGGCTACCACAGCATTCTGCAGCGACATGCCATCCCATCCGGTTTGCGTTTAGTTGGACGATCATTTATTTTTCAACAGGACAATGACCCCAAACACACCTCCAGGCTGTGTAAGGGCTATTTGACCAAGAAGGAGAGTGATGGAGTGCTGCGGCAGATGACCTGGCCTCCACAGTCACCGGACCTGAACCCAGTCGAGATGGTTTGGGGTGAGCTGGACCGCAGAGTGAAGGCAAAGGGGCCAACAAGTGCTAAACACCTCTGGGAACTCCTTCAAGACTGTTGGAAAACCATTTCAGGTGACTACCTCTTGAAGCTCATGGAGAGAATGCCAAGAGTGTGCAAAGCAGTAATCAGAGCAAAGGGTGACTATTTTGAAGAAACTAGAATATAAAACATGTTTTCAGTTATTTCACCTTTTTTTGTTAAGTACATAACTCCACATGTGTTCATTCATAGTTTTGATGCCTTCAGTGAGAATCTACAATGTAAATAGTCATGAAAATAAAGAAAACGCATTGAATGAGAAGGTGTGTCCAAACTTTTGGCCTGTACTGTATATTTAATCTTTTTGTGTTAAGATATACAAGTACATTCTGTAGATGTTCATCCTGTTACAAAACAGATAATCAGCCTGAGAAGTCTTAAGAAAAACATGTGCAATTTCAACAGTATGTCTCAGTTTTTCCACATTCAGTCAGTCTGCTTCTCGCTGTCATTACATGTGCATTTATCCAGACATTTACTGATACAGATTCTTATGAACTGAAGCTGCTGATTGACAGTATTTTGCACAATGTTCAGTGTCTTTTTAAAAGTATTTATTGTCATAACAGAGGACTCTATTCTGGTCAGGGTGGAAACTTGCTCCTGGAACCTGGCACCTCTTAGTCTAGTCATCTAGTGGGCCGGATTGGACATTTTGGTGGGCCGGTTCTGGGCTGTATGTTTGACACCCCTGCATTAGAGTCTCTTTAAAGTACCAATGACAAGAGTTATGAAAACGGTTTGTGCTCATAAATATACAAAAATATTGGATAACACTTGATTAATGACAAGTTGCCATTGTTTGGGTTGTCTTGATTATGACAACTTGACATTAATCAAAGTGACATTAACAGAAGATGTCTTTGTCATGACAAGTTGACATTAAATTTGTTTGGGATGTCCTTATAATGACAACTTGACATTAACCAGGATGACATTACCAGAAGATGTCTTTGTCATAACAATAATAATCATTATGTCAACTTGTCATAAACACAAAAAAAGGTGCATTTCTTGTTAATGTCAACTTGTCATGACAAAGACATCTTCTGGTAATGTCATCCTGGTTAATGTCAAGTTGCCATATTAGGACATCCCAATGTCAAGTTGTCATAATCAAGACAACCCAAACAATGTCAACTTGTCATTACAAACACCGAATGACACTTAATGAAAGCAGTTACAGTATAAACGTTTATGACATGTACATAATGTTCATGACAGGTTCATGACCATGTCATGCCATAGTTATGGCAGCGTCATGTCACTCTTATGTAGATTCCTTCAAGTAAAGTGTTACCAAAAATATTGTAAAGAAGACAAAGCACATACAGTGCTATATGTTATATGTATTTGAGTAATGTGGTACATGGTGTACATGTGCTCTGCCTCCAAAGTACTATTCAGAATAGATACACTACATACACTGAAATATAAAAGGGCAGTGGTGATTTTGTACAAACATTACACAGGGTAACATACTATATACCGACGCTTACTTTGATTCATGTCATTTGTATTGATTTTTTCTAATTATTTGTATCTTGTGTACCTTTTATCTGTTTTCCTGTCCTGCTGTAAGTATATTTTTTTTCTGCATATATAGTCAGTCCAACCAAGAGTTTATGTAAATAACATTACATGCACATTCTGTATCTATCTTATAGACATGAGCATAGTAACTATATTGATGCGTATAGACTTCCTCAAAAGACCATTATAAGCCCATGCACTCTCTGTAAATGTACGTTGGCCTCTAGCGCATTTTACAAATTGTATGTATTCATATATCAGTTATTTTCATGATCTCTGATGTTGTTCTTCTATATTAATTGGGTATACATTATTTGCTTTACCTATTAATACTTAATGTATACTCATCTATCATACAAAAAGTCATTGGAATATATAGGAGGGTGTACCTGCTCACCCTCCTGGGTAACCTACCCATCTACCCAGTAGCACTCCCACTACACCACTGATCTAGAGTCATTAAGCTTTCATTTTAACCTGTGCCATATAAAATGTAGGGACCAGCCAAACAATCACAGCAACATACCTTTTATTGTTGTATGGCTTGTTGTCCCAGATTTCTGGAGCCACATAATATGGCGTCCCGACATATGTTTGAGCGTACGCCTTTGAGCTGCAACACAATAACAAAAAAAAGGTTCAAATGTAACAGCAGCAAATCAAGCACTGAGAATTGATTTTGAAAAAGGCAAACTATAAAGTGCCACCTGCCTCTTTCCTGTACCTGTTCAGAATACACGCCGAGCCAAAGTCTCCAAGCTTGATTGTCCCATTATCTGTCAGGAAAATGTTCTGGGTAAGGAAATGAAAGAGAAGTGATGACTTAACATGAAGCAAAAATAAGAGCAGCCAGCCGTGGTAAAATGATGATATTATGCAGAAGTGGGAGATAATGTTGTGATCTTATCTCGATCAGCAATTTCATCATTGTTCATTTCACTCCACAGCGCTCACAATGATGAGATTTTATCAACATGCTCCCAACCAATAAACTAAATTATCAACTTCTAGTTCTGCTTCAGAGAACAAACACACAGAAAATCTTGTGAAAACATTCTTCATGAGTTCATAATGTCTGGTCTATGTATCTATGTGCATTTACATAAAATAAAATCTGTTAAGATGCATAGTGAGTATAAACTATAATGTCCAGAGATTACTTCACCTTGGACTTCAGATCTCTGTGCAAAACCCGTTTGTCATGGATATGGTGTGTGGCAGCACACATTTGGGCAAACCACCTCAAAATCTGGAAATATAATATGTCAATGAAACAACATTCAAAAAGCAAAGCATTAAAATAAAATAATAAAACGAATTGTTACATATAACCAGTAGAACAGTTTTTAGAAGTGGAGGCCTACATCATCAACACAGAACAGCGTAGTTTTCTGTAGCCGGATCTTCTGGAGCAGGTCTCCTCCACTGCAGTACTCCATCACAATACACAGGAGGTCATCAGCTAAACAAACACAATCACACTGCATATTCCACAGCCCAAACAACAATAACTGTATGTCTTGTAATAATAGAGTTAGGTTTGTGAATATACCTTCAAATGCCTCCCTGAAGGCCACAATGTTAGGATGTTTCATTCTGGACAGCAGGATGGCTTCTCTCCTACAACTCTCCAATTTGGACTGATTCTATAAAAGTGCAAATACAAGCATAGATGCATTCTCCATTATGCAAAACAAACAGGCTCCACGCCTCCGTGTAGGCAACAATCCGGTAGGTTATCAGCACAGAGCAAATAACATTACCATATCCGACCCCAGGCAATAACGTTACAGTCTGAATACAAATATTCTGCAGCTGCGTAGTTTAGAGGGTGGTGCAAATCCAACATCTATTCATCTTTAATTCATACCTTATTACAAATATGAGGGATCCAGTTACACAGCCCTGTTACCTGTTCCACCACACAGGTGAGGGGGAAGCAACAGTATGCACAGAGCAACACCATCTTTGTTTGCACATACCTTTGGCAGCTGGATTTCTTTGACCACATACTCCTCTTGACTGCTTTTACACTGGACCAAAAAAGCTCGACCGAAAGACCCTTCCCCGATGACTTTCTGAAGTGAGTATCTCTCCATGGAGATCCTACACAAACAACAAAGAGAAAGGATAAAAACAACTAATCTCCCTATAACAGTCTGGGCCTGTGGAGGCGAGAAGACGTCCTTGTTCTGGTCGTCAGTGCTCACATTAATACATTTACAACATAAAAGACTAATGCACAAACACTACCCGGGCTCGAGCTGTTTGTTTGGCCGCTACTTCCGTATTATTGTATGACGGAGCGCGAGAGTCACCTGTACTACGCGGCGTGGCCGCTAGATAGCGGTAGATTATAATCTCTAAATCAGATTGAGCCTCGTAGGAGGTTCCGTGACGGTCATAATAATGTTGTAATAATTTATCCGAGTAGTCTGCTGGTTTTAAATTAGGGTAAACTGTTTTTCAAATGCTTACATAATGCATTTTAATGTTTACGCTTTTATTACTAACATATGTTTTCGGTCAGTTACGTAATGGTATTGTCTGTATTGTTGGCTCTGTTCATGGTGTTCCTGCTTTTTTCTACGATGTTTGCTGTTCTTCGTTGACTAAAGGATTCAAAAAACTAAAGTATGACTGTGGCACGAAACACATGGAAGAAAATTCTTAAAGATGTTATATCACAGTTTTGACAGAGCCCGGATAGCTCAGTCGGTAGAGCATCAGACTTTTAATCTGAGGGTCCAGGGTTCAAGTCCCTGTTCGGGCGGATAAACTTTTGAAACAATTGAGGGCGATGCGGGTGTAATGTGACTTGGTATAGCTCGTAGCTGGAACATCTTACCACACACACATAGGCAAAGCTGATTGAGTAACAGGGAGCAATCAGACTGGTAAAAGCCTATCCGACACAAGTCCGTTCATATCCATAGAATGTGAAAAGTACCATTGTGAGAAAATGCTGTACTCACAGTATCACAGTGCTGCCATAATGTAAAACTGGCAACATAAATAAATAAATAAATAAATAAAAATGCAGACTTGACATTCACTTTGACAAATTTCACAGTTTAAGCAACTTTCAAGAATCTGCTAATAGATTTCTATATCACACAGCAATGAGTGGAGACCACCGAAACACACGCAATGCATAGTAAACGGTCAGCAAAAATGTAAAGTCTAAGTGTTTGTAGTAAAGAGCTGAAACTCGGAAACACACTGGTATAGCCCTTTAATATTCAGCAGAATTCCCCTAACATCTTGTGCAGCATAAACTAAGTGCTTTATGGCCAAATGATTGCATAGCGGCTCCAAATGTGTAATGTTTGCCTCATTACCTCCTGTGTTTTGCTCTCTGGCAGTGCTCTGGTCCCATCAGCCAATAATCTTGCATAGGAGGAAAATAACGGCAATAATGAGGTAAATATTGGGCATGGTGCAACAGTTTGTCTACAGCTCCAGGATTATGCTGCACAAGCTGTTTGGGGAAATGTGATGGACTTTTTTGCTTTTCTTGGAGCTGAAAAAGATCCATCCATTATCTATAACTGCTAAAGGGTCGCGAGGGGTTGCAGCCGATCCCAGCTGACATTGGGCGAGAGTCGGGCAGCTCGCCAGTCAATCACAGGGTTGATACATAGAGAGAGACAGACAACTATTCATGGCAATTTAGAGCTGCCAGTTAACCTACCCTGCATATCACTGGATTGTAAAAGAAAGCCGAAGGACCTGGTAAAAACCAACGCTGAGATGAGGAGAGCATGCAAACTCCACCCAGAAAGTAAAGGCATGTTCTGTGTCTCACACCCATTGTATCTAAACTATAACACCACTTTTTAAATAACCAATAATCTTCTGTGAAATGCAATAAGACACTGTTTGTATACCTGGCTAGAAAACAATACTGTCTGGCTGTTTATTTCTGCTCTGCTCAGATCATAAGTGAGGACCTTTCACATGGCCAACCCTCTAATGATTCATTACTGCTTATTAAAGATGGAAACCAAAGTACCAAGCTGTGCAAGTGTGTGTGTGTGTGTGTGTGAGAGAGAGAGAGAGAGAGAGAGAAAGAGAGAGAGAGAGAGGCTTTTACCACAAATTTGAAAAATATTTAATTTGTGAGGTGATACCTGTGAGATTAAGATTGTGTTTCTCCAGTAACAGGCATTATCTCTGTGGCTGTTTGTGGTGCTGAGAGAACATTAAAATGCAAAATCATAACATATGGTGTTTGTCAGACGCCGTGACACGTCTCTTCTAGTTTGTGCTGACAGATGACTGACGTGAAGCAGCTGTGGGGCGATAAAAATTAAAACTGAATGACATTAAGAACCTCTAGTGTAAAGGTTTCTCAGTCCTGGGGTTGAGGCCCCCATGTGAGCCTCCTTACGTGCAGACTTATTGATATTTGTTTGATTTAAGCCATTTAGATATTATCACTTGTATATAATACATTCAGCAGTTGATTAATATTCTTGAAAGAGAATATAATAGTATGCATTATTCACAGGGCAGCTTGATAACACTCAAACTCCTGCAGCCATGGCAAGTTTGGGACCGGAAAAATGAGTCAGGGGCCAAAAAGGGCAGATAAACCCTGCAGGAATGACTTTCTGTCATGTAAAAATGTTTTCAGAGAAAGCTGGCATAAAATCTGTCATTTCAACTTTCAGTTTCATTTTTATGTTTGAGGTTATCTGTGAAATACACCTCTTCTAGCATAAAAAAGTCTTGATGTCTTGCCAATCTAATTTTTAAGAGAATCTTAAATTATATTGAAAGCCATCAAATGGTCCTTCACGGAGACAGTTGGATATCCTCTGCATGAAAAGGTGCATACTTAAGTCCATCAGAGGCCCATTAAAAACCAGAGAACGTCATAATATTTAGTGGTTAAACATTTAAAAAGAAATATGTAGGATACTGTTCCAGTATACTGTTACAATGTCTCGTTGCCCAGCTGACACATTATAGTGTATAAGGCAAATTAAGACAGCAGTGTTAAATGTTCAAATGTATGCCCTGTGAGAAATTAGATAATGAAAACAGAAAATTAAAAAGAGTGAGAATTTATATTCAGAGTTGAAATATTAAATCAGCTCATAGAGGAAACATTAAAGATGTAGCCTGTTTCCAAACCACTGGATCTTTAAATTGTTCAGCGATTCAAACAGAACCATTGAATGAACTGAAACTAAATGGCACTTCAGTTTGATTATCAGGCTAATACAGATGGACATCACAGAAACAAAACTATAATCTGTTGTGCCGTGTCAGTGAAGCTGCTTTGTGAATGGTGAAGATCACTTTGTGGGACCATCCAATGTTTATCTGAACTTTAAGGTCCATTTGAGCATCACATATTAGAGGGTTTATCACCATCCTTAACCTGAGAGTATATGTTGATCCCCAGATCATTATCATGGATACTGTCACCTTGTCCCTCTTTTTCAGATCACTGTCTTCAGTGCTGTTTATCGGTTTATCCTTCACAGACTGTGGGGCTGCATCAGGCTGCCCTTTCTCCCCTTTTTTTTTTTTTTTTTTTAGAGACAACGATTACAGTTTATTAATACAAATTATGTGCTCACAAATGCAATGACATCGCGATGCTAGATGTTAGTGGGTTGACACTTCTACAGCAGTTCCAAAGTGTTTAAAAGCACAGACAGGAAGTAGGAAAAGTGCTAACAATATGGTTATCAGTTTTCTAATAATATTCTAGTTAAACAGCTTTAATCCCTACTGGAATGCATCAAAGTCTGGGCTTGTGTGTGGTTGGATATTAGACTACTCTTCAAGAAGGAAAGCCTCTGATTATTTGAGGGATGATGAGGTGAAATGTAATATGTACTGCCTCTCTAAAAGTTTAGACATAAGAATGTAAGAATAAGTATAAGGTGAACAAATCCTAAGTAAAGACAGGATCATTTCTGACAATGTGTACAAGAGTTACAACATTAGCTGTGATAAAAAAATTATATGCTGGTATGTACCACAATACCTAAAGTATTTTCTGTGTTTATGTGATGTTTTTGTCAGGCATACTATTCCAGTACTCAGGAGTCTGAGGTATTTTGATACATTTACCACAGGACTGTACCACGTGCAGAACATGTGCCAAATTACCGCAGAACCTGTGCTACATTCCTGTGGCAGATGTCTCAAAATACACAAAGTGCAGAAACACCAAAGCAAAATGTCACAAAATGTACCAGAAAGTTGCCTCAAAAACCTGGGGTACCAAATGGTATTTTACCACTGGAAATTTTTGACACATTGTGTCCACATTGGTCTCCACTTGGTCTGGAGTAAAAAGAAAATCTATCTCTTTAAATGCTTGAACTCCTTTCACCAGCTTGTTAACTTTGTTATTTAGTGTTGATCAGGTAGCGTGCAGTGGGTGTATCAGAGCTTGTTTGCAGAGTTAGTAGATAATTCTCTGTGAGTTTCTCATTATGAGCAATCTTTCCAGCATTGCACATTTGATTCATTGTTATTCTGGAACACATTGTGGCTTTAAACTCTTCAATTACAAATACAAATTATGTTGCGGAGTGATCATCATCCGCAGTGCAACAAAGGCTAACTTACTCTGTGATGGGCTGTCTTACTTAAATAAGTAGATAGAATTTCTTAATCTCAATATCAGTCGGCTCCAAGTAACTTGACAATAACAGCAGTTTAAAGTTAGGTCTATAGTTACTGAGGATTAAAGGTTCAAGGCTTGATTCTTTAATAGGAGCTGAACTACTGTTTGCTTAGATAAACACTAGTGGCCGTAGAGCTGTTTATGACTGATAAAATGCTGGGATTAACTTTATCAAAGGCCTCCTGGAAGAGCTCAGGTGGGACAACTTTTTGGGGACAGGTGATGTTCTTCATATGATAACACCTCTCTAAAAACATGACAGGGAAATAAGTTTAAAAAGGCATTAAAACAGCAGCAGATTTGGAATCCATTGCTCACAAGCCTTTGGTGAAGGATAAAAGAATCAGCATGTTTCTCCTGGGAGGATTCTGTACGACAGAGGGCTGATAGCAGAGTTGATTACGCTGAACAGTACCTCAGTGTTTTGACAATTATTAGATAGGGGCACAGAGAATGCTGCTCTTGCATCTTCTCTGCATATATCTCACACTACAGTAGGTCTTCCATAGGGTCCAGAAATATTTGCACTCTGTTGTCTGCTATGTTCAGTCTCCATAGGGGTTTGTGTATCCTGAGTAAAGAAGAGGCTGTGAAGCTGGATTTTCTTTAACTTTAAATGGTGCA